TCGGCAGTGAGTTTTTTCTGCAAAATGTTGCATGGTTGTCTTTTTAACTGATTGATTATATCCTGAGGTCATTCATTTTCCAATGGGATGTCATATGGGGTAGAGAATGGATAAAAAAAGACCAGAGACAGGGGTGCGTGATCCAACCAGGTGATAGCTCCATAGGAGCATTCCTGAATAAGATTTAGATGTCTATGTTGTGTAAACAGCATGTCGATGCGGGAGTAGGTGCCTGTAGGCTCTATCAGTAGGGTGCATAGTCCACCAACTATCAAACAGGTGTGCTTCTTGTAGTATAGAATGTATTTGTTTGCATGCTGAGTTGAGATATTTGCTAGAGGTGGAGGAGGAATACAGGTGGAGGAGGAATACAGGTGGCCATCTAATGTGTTATACAAGTCTCCTCCCACAATTGTTATACCTTCCTGGAAGGTATCCAATGCATGTAGAATTTTCCCAAAAGACTGACATGTTTTTTTATTAGGTAGGTAAAGGTTCGCCAGGGTGACTGTTATGGATAGAAATTGATGTAGGTAAAATGTCTATTTACCATGTATATCTGTAATCAGTATATACTCAAAATGGCTGCTAGAGCACCCCCTCCCATTGACCAAGCACCTCATGTGACAAGATGGCGTCTCCATTCGGAGTAAAATCCCGAGATGATGGTGACATCACACTTTGGAGGAAGTGCATTAGATAAGACACTTAACACTTGACCAATTAAAGATGTATACTCTGTTATTTCATGTTTTGCATATTATGTATTTTCTGCTTTATAAGGGGTCTGCCACCCCTCTAAGTAAACATTCCAAAGTTTTTCATTAACCTGAAACTTGTTTCTCAGTGTGATTTACTTCCGCGTGCACGCAGTTTATTTTAAACAATCTGGACAGGGGCAGATACTCAAATAAACAAACACTTGGTTTGATCCAGAACATTTGGCGCCCAACGTGGGGCTCCAGGTTGTGACTCTTTTCCCGCTCAGCCATCCTAGAAGACACCGGGGCAAACCTGCAGTGACGGGACAGAGCCTGGTCAACTCTGAATATATGGTAATGACTGCCTCAAAAACAGGTAAATAGCTTGCCCAGAGTCTCTTTTGTATAGAACCTGTATATTTACTATCTGCCTCCAGGGTGTGAATGTATTTTGCATAAGGGGAAGGAATTTCACACGAGCTGTTGCTTTACTGCCGTAGCGCCGTAAGCGCATGGCTGGGTTTGCGTTTTTTTGCT